AGTTTTTAATTTGTATCGAAAATTCCAATTGTTCCCAAATCCTTGGCTTTGATAAGCTAACCTGCATTTCTCGAACTTGTTCTCCTTCGCTGCCTACCCTCAACGCTTTCCTTTCTATCTTCTTTTCTTCCACTTTTTCCTTCCTCTCCAAAGCCCTAACTCCTTCCTCTACCACTACCTCTTTCTCGTTTACTTCTTCCAAAACCATCTCTCTAGTTCTTTCTCCGCTGTCCGCAATCCGATTCTTCTCTTTCAACACCTGCAATAAAGCTCCGATACTCGATATCGTCTCCGAAACCGAAGCTCCTTGAACCGAATTCCGGTTCTCTAAGGCTTGGATTTGCCGAAGCAGCGATTCTTTCTCGTCTAGCCACCGCTGCTCTTCTCTTAGCCAGCGTTGCTCTTCCCGGAGCCACCGTTGTTCTTCGCGAAGCCACCGGCTTTCTTCGCGATCGAAATTCGAGGAATTAGTCGAAGAAGAAGAGAAACAGAGGAAGAGTTTGGAAGGGGAGGGAGAGAGTGGAAAGGATTTGGAAGGAAAGGAGTGGGAATTGAAGTGGAGAAAAGGAGGGTGGAAAGAGAGAGGAATTAAGGAAGTCATCTAAATTGGAAGGAATAGAGAAATTAATTACTGAAGAGGAAAATGTGAAGAAGAAGAAGGAAAGAAAGCGGATATTTTTGTTACTACTTTGATTCTGATTGATATTTGTAGTGTTTGGTTACAGATTTTAAACCACACGTTGGGAACATACAGGTGGCGGGAAGCTTTTACTCCTTCCTTCATCTGAGCTTTCACTTTACAACGAAGAGACTGCTGAATTTAACAAGAAGTAATTAGTAATTTCAGATTTTCATTGCCAATTCATTAGATCTTTTTGGTTAATTTTGTTAAAATAAATTGCTTTGTGTTATATAATTTGTAAGTCTTTTTTATTAGTTTGAAATTGAAATCTGGGTTCAAGAGGTTTAAGTAACTATGTGTTTTGCTTGCTTTAGTGTTTGTATCGGGGTTACAGTGAGTCACTTTCCTTCTCATTTGATGCAATCAAACTAAAAAAAAAAGAGAAAAAAATCAAAATTTTCACAAAAGTTACTATAACCTTTGACACAAATAAAATAATAAAGGCTTAATTGAGAATTTTACCATAATTTGAAAGCTTATTTTGTTATTATACCATTTATAATTTGCAGAAGCATTCTAGTCTGAAGTATGTTTCATTTTGATTGTTACTTCTATGCTTTTCCCTTTTCATGTTGATTTTTCCCGCCCCTCCCAGAAGTCAATGTCTGTTTGATGTTTCTATTCATGCATCTATACGTGCTTTGGATCTGGATTTGTTCCAATGACCATGCATGGAATTTAATTCTATGCTGATGTTACCAAATGAATGCTTAATATGTAGAAAGTAAAGAATGATGTTGAAAAGCGAAAGGATCTTGTGAAGACATAACCAGTTTCAAACATGGAAAAATGAACAACACTTTCTGACACATTGTTAATTACGTGTGTTGTCAAGGACCTCACCCTCTAATCATACCCATGGATAAGGCATATCCAGGTCACTGTCTCATTGATCAATTGCAGCTGGCTGCTGCTTCTTAGCTTCTCCGTTGGTGTATGTGTTAACAAGCGTGTGCATGCTGATGTTAGTTTTAAAGCTGTTGATTATATGCATAATGGATTACATTTAGAGAAGACAAGGGAGAGAAGGTCTTTTTTTTTTTTTTCTAAACATGTTGTTTTGATCATTGATCTGGATGCTATCTTCTAGTGTGAATTTGTTGAATGTGGCTTTAATAGGAAATGAATCAAGAAATGATTGCTGATTGTTATAAATCCTAATTTCTTTAATCCTTATCGTATACTCATTTTGTCAAATACATTTGGTGCTGCAGCCTACTGCATATCCAGCTCCTGCAAGTTGCTTGATGTGGTATAAAGTTGAAAGTACTTCAGATATATTGCATGTGTTGTGTTGTTTTGTTAGCAACATTCGGCTTTGGCCAGGTCCTTGATTGTGGTGAGAAAATTGAGTTGCTGGTGGATAAAACTGAGAACCTTCGCTCACATGTTATTCCTATTCAAACTGCATTTTATGGGTAACTGAAACAATGACTTAATTGTGTTTTGGTGAAGCCATTGCCTTTTCAAAGTAGGTTTTAAAAATTAGTAGAATTCTGATCAATTTTGGTTTTGTAATCTAAATACTGTCTTTTATGGTTTCTTCATGCCTTGTATATTGGTGCACATTATGATGCATTTAACTTGATATACATAAGATGCACAATATGATACATTTAATTTGATATTGCATTACAGGCACAAGACTTTAGGCTGCAAGGAACTAAGATGAGAAGAAAGATGTGGCTTCAGAATATGAAGATAAAACTGATTGTTTTGGGTTTTCTTATCGCCCTGATTCTTATCGTTGTGCTGTAAGTCTGCCATGGCTTCAAATGTTAATCTGTCTTGGATTTCCCTCGGACCGCTCTTGCTGCCTGCGTTGTCTTGATAGATTGGTTTGTCTTACTTGTTTTTTTAAGGCATATATTTCTCCCTTTGGTAGCCGTTTAGGATAGAGGGGAGGCTTTGTATCTTGGTTGGCTGTATAGGTTGTAGTCTGAACTTGTTTCGGTAGATAAAAATTTCTATGGAGGATTTCTTCTTTATATTGTAATGGGGGAATACTCGGATGCCTGCATACCAAATTTGTCCTTTTGAAATGATATTGATCTGTTTCTTTGTTTCTCTCGCATAGCATGAAAATCGTTTTATATGCATTTCTCTTTTAGAGGTAAGAGGAGACAGCTGGTTTTGTTAAATTTTTTAAAGGTTAGGAGCCTATGGTTGCATGAGTAGCTCGGTGTCTTTGCCTTCCGCAGGGAAGGTCTCTAGCTCTAACGATTAGAGCGATGTGTATGATTGATATTTTCCCCACTCCCCTTGATGTCTTGTTTTGAGGATCTACTTTTTCTCCGGAGAGAAATTTGGGTTAAAATACTAATTTGACTACGAAACAAATTGAATTTTATTTGGCAGTCAGTTTCTTTTCGATTTTACATTTTTCAAATCAAAAGCGTTAGCATATGTTTGCTTGAAAACAATTTAATTTGAATTTCTAATCGTGCAAACTCTTTAAAACAAGTTTGAGTAATGAAATTTAATGTCTACAGGATCAGATTATAATATATAAAAAACTGCAACAGTGATGTGAACCAGAAGCACTACTATCTTCACGGTTTTGTATATAATATGCTGAGATTAGATCTTATTATTGAAAAAACTAAAGCTTAACATAAATTTTAACATCTTGAAATTATTTCAATATTAAATGCCTAAATGCCTGATGTCCGCTGTTAGCTCAATTGTCCTTTTCTCATTACCCTTTCTAACCCACTCTTTTATGTGTTTAAAATATATATATTATATTATATAACAAAAGATTTTTAATAATAGGTATTTTATATATAAAAAACTAAAAAATTAGTTTATTATAATAAGTAAATACCTTTAATTATAATTATTCTCAATCATAATTTCTTATTGCAGTCAATGTCAAATTGAATTTTGGTTCAAGTAAGAAAGATAAGATGCATTTTGAGTAAAAATTTTAAATTCAAATTATAAAGTTCATCACAATAAAAAGAAAGAATAAAAATTTCTTATAATTTACAAAGAAATCCCAGCGGAAAAAATGACGTCGTGTATTGTTAATCACTGTAAATGAGTGAAATGACGTCGTTTCCTACTTCATGCTTATGTCTCTCCTGCCTTACGATGTCGTTTTACCAAGCG